CTGTAACTTATGAGATCACCTGGGGAAGGGGTGTTTTCTGCCTGCATGACCAGTGTCTGTGAGTCAACCCTGACTTGGGTCTTCCTGCTACCTAGGCAACAGAATGCTAATCATGGGAAATCTCAGGCTGTCATGTTAACGAAGCCTTTGTTACCTTCTCCCCCAGTTTACCTTAAGTATAAAAACTGTGGCAAAATAAATGCAGGTGATTTCAGGATCTGAATAATCCCTGAAACTCACTCCCAATACTGTCTTATGGTTCCTTTCTCTATTTTCCCACTCCCCTACCCTGGTAAGAAGTGTTTTCGTTGAGGCTGGTCCTCAACATCAGGAATGCTGGATAAAGTGGAATTTATGTTGTTGAAAACAGGCAAACTGTTTCTCAACGGGAGCATTCCCAGCAGCATGGGACAAGGTTATACTTGCTAAGCATCTTAAATTGCATTTGAAATCCTTCCCCACCTAGTGGGTATGTGAAGTTTTCATTAGAATTCCCCCAATGGTGACTGTATAGTCAAGTGATTATTAGACATCTGTGCTTCTTTTTGCTAATGTGTCTATTAGATTAGAAAATCGAGTTGCTTGTTTTCTTACTATTGAGTTTTAGGAAATCTTTATATGTTGTGCATAAGGTCTGATTCTTCATTTGTAATTTTTTCTCCAAATCAATAGTATGTCTTTTTCATTTTATCAACTTTCTTTCAAAGAAAAATTTGATATTTCTATTAACTTACTTTTTCTGCAAGGTATTTTGATTGCCTTTCCTATGTCTTCTTATAAATGACAGCTTTGAATGGTGTTCTGGAAGTTTTAATTAGTATGCTTCTATGGAGAACACTCATTTCTTTTTGGCCTAGTTGTGTTTTGTTTCTTTGTTCCTTTCTTTCTTTTTCTTTCTTTCTTCCTTTCTTTCTTTCTTTTTTTCTTTCTTTCTTTTGATTTGGGATTTGGGGTTTTTTCGAGACAGGGTTTCTCTGTAGCTTTGGAGCCTGTCCTGAAACTCACTATGTAGACCAGGTAGACGTCAGATTCACAGAGATCTGCCTGCCTCTGCCTCCCAAGTGCCGGGATTAAAGGTGTATGCCACCACCGCCCGGCTATTTTTTTTTTTTTTCTGCTATTTGGTACCCACAGAATCACAATTTCCCAAACTTCGCCAGTGCTAGTTGAAGCTGTTTCGAACTTGCTCCATCTAGTGGACAGCTTTATACTAGTGCGGCCGGCCGCCTATGCCACACTTTTCAAAGCTTTTGGTATGTACATACTGTTTATACAAAAAGCCAGATCATCTTAACTTGGGGCTGAGCCCCGCTGGCCTGGGACAACTTTCTGGAATTGTTTCCTTCAACCCCCTTTTCATGACTAATTCCCAAACACCTTCTTTTGCCCTGTGCGCCTTTCCTGGTTCTGGAAATAGAAACAAAGGCTTAAGCATCTGGATTTACTAGGGACTGAAGACACAGAGAGGGGAAAAACTGGGGACTTGCTCCTACGTGGATACAGTTCTCGGGTCAGAGACAAATGCTGCTTGTTCCCTCAGCTTAGGTGCCTGGCGCTGTTTTTTGGAACAAAATAAAGGGCTTCTGTTAGAAAACTACCAGCTGCAAAAAGCAGAAAGTGCCTCTACTTTAAACAGAGCAAGAAGCTTTTATTCTTTCTCTTCCCCTTGTGACAAAGGAAAGAGAAAAATTTGAGAAACAAAGTTAATTAAATGAAGGAACAAAGGAGAGAGTGGAGAAGTCATGGAGGGGAAGAGAGAAGAGCAAGAGATTAAAAGAAAATTTAAAAATTTTCTAACCATAGAAAAACTCATAACCAAATCAGTTAATATAAATAGAATAAAAATAAACTCTTTTTTAAAAAAGATTTATTTATCATTGTTATTTATTTTAGGAAAATAAGTCCCTGTTTATTTGAATAGCGGGGTAAAGGCCGAGAGATGGACTTTTCACCCTGTGGGACTGACTGGACTCCATGTCTGTTTACAGTTCCACATTTTGCTTTTTTGTTTGTTTTTTAGCATATATTTTAATTGATTTTTTTTTATTTTTCGAGACAGGGTTTCCCTGTGGTTTTGGAGCCTGTCCTGGAACTAGCTCTTGTAGACCAGGCTGGTCTCAAACTCACAGAGATCCGCCTGCCTCTGCCTCCCGAGTGCTGGGATTAAAGGCATGCGCCACCACCGCCCGGCTTTAATTGATTTATTTTTTTGAGAATTTCACAGCACATACCCAAATCCTATTCATTTCCCAGTCCTTCCATGCCTGCCTCCACCTTGTAACACTAGCCAATCCACTATCAACGTGGGAAAACCTAAGGGTAGGGTTCATGTGTGTTAATATGTCAGAACCTGACATTCCCCAACCTCAGCTCTCTACCTTCCTTCCTGATCTTCAACTTTACATGCACACTGGAATAGACATGTGTGCACACGTGCACATGTGAACACACACACAAATGGACACATGCACACATACAACACACAAACATGCACAAGCGCAGACACAAATGATTAAATAGTTGTATTTTTACTCTTTCCTCCTAATCATTCTAATAAAAGCTCAGGAAGTTGAGGGAATCTATGATCAAGTGCATAAAGCACTTGCCATGCATGTATGAGGACCAGAACTCAATTTCCAGAACCCACATAAATGCTGAGTGGGTGTCCAGCCATCTTGAACTCCCATGCTCAGAAGACAGAGAGAGTGGAATCATAGAGCAAGCTGCCTGCCTAGAGTGTGTACATCTGCAATCTCCATGTTCAATCGAGAGACCGTTCCTTGATGAGTAAAGTAGAAATTGAGGATGAGGCCCAGCATAAGCCTGACATGCCCACACATGTGTGAACATGCACACTAAACAGAGAGACACATTGTAAATATAAAATAAAATAAGAGGCAGGAAGTAAATAAAAATAATATCTTAGTGCAAACCTTAAAAGAGTCATGAAGCTCTCCCACAGGTTGTTAAAGCAAAAGTTGTTCTCCAGGAGTGGGGATGTCAGGCCAGAGATGATACCTGTGAATGATGCTGGTGCCTCCAGGGCTGTGACTCTGGTGAATCATTGCCACTCTACGGTGGGCTTTGCAGTGACCCAGCTGCCTGTGAGTGATCACACTGTGTTTGATAAATGTGCATGAGCTTGGAAGGAAGAGAATATGAGACAGACAGAGTCATAAATTAAAAAAAGAAATTTAAGGGTAGTAAAAGACAAGGAGAGTAAAAAATTTATAATGGGCCACCTAATGATACACAGAGTCTAGATTATATAATTATTGTGTTTTCTTTGAATTTTTCAACTGTTAATGAACTAACTGAAGAAATACATTTAATTGTGGGATCTGCTAAGCTAAACCCACATAAAAGTATTTAACTTCAAAATTCAGGTCTAAGGATATGTTGCTTTGAAAAAGAGATGCTTCTTTTGTTTTCAAGGAAGATGAGAAGATGTGGATTCCTTCTATGTTAATATGGTTTGATCGAAAAAGACCCCCTGAAACAGCTTCAAGGCAACAGGCTGAGATTATGCAACCTCACTGACTACTGCAGCCAAGATTTAACCATAATTCTAAACCTTCTCAAGACCACTGCACTCAACAATCAGCAGGAAGTAGTATAGAAAACTATACCAAAATTACTAAATACTGTCTATAAATGTTTGCTTTCATTTAAAAGGGGTTGCTTATAAACAGTTAATGGTCACAGTCAATCTCTTTCTAAAGAAAGATATGATATAAATATGAATAGGATATGATATGGAAATGAATACTTTACATTGATATGTATTTTCATTTATTGCTACAAATTTAAGGTAATTTCTTATACTGTATATTTCTTTCTATTCTTGTTTGAGGTATTATGTTTGTGTAACTCATTTAAAATAAAAGTATAATTAAAAATGCAAATTAAAAGTCATCTATGTAGTCAAATTGTAGTCATATTATACTACCAAAGAATGAACGTAATCACTGATCATACCAGTCTCTGAACTCTATGAACTATAATGACTGGACAGATAAGACATGGTCTCCAGTGTATCGGTGGCAAGAAAGTCATCCATGTAACTAATTGCTTCCTGATTACTTTTACTAGCTTCTCCACTAAATGAAACCCATACCTGGGCAAGAACTTAAGGCTAGATATATTATAGATTCAAGGTAAAAATTTCTATTGTTATGCTGTTAAATGGATATATTACTAAGCCAGCTCCTCTTGATTTATTATTATACCCATAGATTGAGGCATTTCCCAACCTTTCTTACAGTTTTTTATATTTGCAGTAGATCATAATCTATACAGAGACCCACAACTGGCCAAAATGCAGAGAATAAGACACTGAACAATATCCAGCCCTGAATGGAATATATATAATTCTAGTTCCAAAGGCACAGGGATGGTTGTTGAAAGGGAGATAAAAAGACTACAACAGCCAGAGTCAGTAGAGTAGACAGCTACAGTGAAACTGTGTCTTCTGGACACAACAGGGCAGCTGGATGTATAAGCTCACAATGGTTGTGACAACATGTGTAAAACCTGTCACGCCCAAACCACATCAAATGTGTGCACTGACAGGAGAGTTAAAAATGACAAGAATTAAGGAACATGAATCCACAATTGTGAGGAAATAGGTTGTGTCGTGGGTGATCCTTAACTTGGCATCTGCACACAACACCAGACAATGTGCTGTGTATTTGTGGAGTCAGGGATCCCAAAAATTATCTTTCAAGAGTTGCATTCCAGCCTAGTTAGTTAGCTGCTTCTCCGTGCTCTCCCTCCATTTCCAAGCCCCACATTTCACACCTGTACTATTTTAGGACTGTCCAGACTTTTCTGCCAAGAAACAAAGGTTTAATGGAATGAAACAACTGGTCACTTTAGTTTCATTTCCCTTTTCTTGGAAATGCAGCAGGTCTGAAAGCTACTGACCCGTGCTCCTCCGTGATTGGCCAGCACACATTGAGAGGGAGGGGCAGGGCCCTGAAGAGAGTGGGAGTCCTGCTAAGCTGTCAGAAACCTGCTTTCCACAGAGGAAGGAGGGGTTGGTTCATGGGAAGAGACTGCAGCACAGTGTGCAGTGGTTCCTGCAGCTGAACTACAGTGAGCGCATACACTGGACTCAGGGTTCTCTGGTAAGTGGACAGGGGCACTCAGATCTAACTTGTAACCCTCACCATCTCTCTTCTTTAAAGAGAAGATAGGTAATCAAACATTTAAGAACATATTCTGAGAGTATCCTCTGCTTGAAAGCTGGGAAGCTCTGCTGCGAGGCAGACAGGACCGCATCATGGATGGGGCTTAGCCAATTCTTCAAGTTGAGGAAGACGCAAAGGAAATGATTTGGGTATTGATTTTGGTAAAACGTTTCAAATTGTTTTGGCTTGTTTCTTATTCCTTTCTCTAACATGGCTGTAACTGGCTGCTGCAGCTGATGGAATATCTGCAGTGGGCCCGAGGTTGCTGTTTGTCATTCTCATCTTCCTTCCTAGTTCAGGGTATAGTGCTTAGTTCCTTACAACCTGAGGCCTCTGGCCTGTGGAGAAGAGGTCTCTCTGCTGGCCGCTTCTGCCATAGCTGGCTGCGGAGATCTGTGCCTGGCAAATCTTGTTCACTGTGGTTTCCTTTATTGTCAAGCAGGAGTGCTAAGGGTCTTCTCTCCATCTGTGAGAACTTGAGTTATGTCAGGGTGTGGTGACAGCTGACATTTAGGCAGGCTTCCCTTTGAAATGTTCACTGTATCACAGCCTTCTCGTTCCCTGTGTTCATATTCAGTGGAAAGTCCTCGCAGACAACTGTCACACTGGAGTCTGCATCACAGATCCAGGAGCTAGAGCTGTCAGAATGAGAGGGGAAACTGAAGATTAGAACAGCTTGTACACTTCAGGAACATTCTGTCTGTGACCTGTGGGTGACTGTTCCCTTCAACGGGAAATCAGGGAATGCTGTTTATTTAATCAGATTTGGCTTCCCTTTCAGGACATTCTCTTTACCCACCTCTTCCTGTCCTGTGCCTGCAGTCAGACTGAACAAAGTTCTACAGCTCTGCTTTCCTGCACAGCTGTCCCCATCTGTCCTGTAGATTGGACGGGGTGTCCTGTGCAGCGAGTCTGTATGTGCCTGTGCTTATACACAGTAGGATTCTAAGGACAGCCCTCTCTTGTGGTAGACTGTCTTTGAGCTCTCCCAGAGATTCCGGTACCCACTCTCTATGAATGTACTAGCTCTTCAATAACCTACTGGCCAGGATGGAGAGATGGCTCATAGGTTAAGAGCATTGCCTGCTCTTCCAAAGGTGCTGAGTTCAATTCCCAGCAACCACATGATGGCTCACAACCATCTGTAATGAGGTCTGGTGCCCTCTTTTGGCCTGCAGGCATACACACAGACAGAATATTGTATATATAATAAATATTTTTTTAAAAAAAAAAACCTACTTCCAGGGAAAACTACAGAATAGGCACAAATGTTTACAATAAACATCTAGTGTTTCCCTCATAGCTCTCATTCATTGCCTGATGATAAACCACCATTGCTGTGTGTTGGTCATAGAAAAGTGAGCAAGACAAAAGCACATTCTGATACCTGAGGCTCATTATACTCTGGGAGGCTGAAAGCAAGTGAACCCAGACGAATGCACATCATCTGCCAACAAGTGCTGTGTAAAGCTGGAAAGATAAAGGATGGTGGGTGATAGAGGCAGGTGGGATTTTATATCTCAATGGGGATGGCAATGCTAAAGCATGCCTAATTGATGCACAACCTAGATGAGGGCGGCTAAGTTAATAGACCTGTGGTTCTGGAGGGGAGACCAACAAGGAAAGGAAACAGTCATTCAGTACAAAGTTCTGAGATGAGAAAATAGCCCACAATACCAGGGTGGCTGTTATTCAGACATGAAAAAAACCCAGAAGTGTAATAATAAAGTACAATTTATGTTGTATGTAGCATCTTTACCTAATTAACTTTCCCTGAGGGAAAGTAGTATACTAATGGTACATCTCAGAATTGACATGACCTGATATGACTTCAGTGTCAATGGGACAACTCTGGCTGATCATCCATGCTGTTGCAAGGACAATCACAGGGAATACAGTAATGTCAATGACATTATCAAAGTTGGGATTGAGGAGGTCTTGAAGAAGATAACATAGGAGGGATGATCAGTGTGAGTGGAACTGGAAATAGAGCTTAAGTCTGCAAACCAATTTGATATGGGTGAGACAGGAAAAGGCTCCAGGGTGACAGTGGAGATTTGCTGCTTTCTTAACTAATAGTAATAGCCATTGTGCTGCCATGGGAGGTCTTGTAGACAGGTTTGTGGATAATACAGGACAGAAATATGATATCTGAGCTAAAAAAAATTACCCAGCAATCAAACTCAGTTCTTTAGCCTGGTATTTACCCCCTGAGTCATCTTGCAGAACTTGATATTCATTTTTTGAGACAGGGTCTCAAGTAGCCCAGGCTAGCCCTTAACTCACAGTTTACCAAGGATGACCTTGAAGTACTGATACTCTTACCTCTACTTCCTGAGTACCAGAATGACAGAGATCCACAAGAACCTGCATTTGATGAGGTGCTGGGGATTGAGCCCAAAGCCCTGTTCATTCTAGGAAAGCAATTGACCTATAACTGCAGGGCACAGTTAGAGTGCTTTCGGAACATGAAAGTTTTAAAAAGAAAATAGTAAATCTATATGACTGAGGACCCTGTAATAGTGTATTGAAGAAATGGATATTAACCTGGACTTTAAGGATAAGAAGTTTTATATTATTACAAGTTTATATTCCTCATGGAGGTGAGATAGCTCCAAGTCATTAAAAAGACAGAGGGAAAGTAAATCTAGAAAAATTAAGAAATATTTCAGCCAAATACAATAGTTGGACTTAATGAAATCTTTTGGAAAAATCAAGAAAAACTGGAACATTTATGTGATCATTAGAGATTTGGCATTGGTTAAACAATAATATCAAATATCACCCATTATTATTTATTTTTCAGTGTGAAAAATTAGATTCTGTTAAGTTTCCATTCATTTGAAAGCACACACTGTAGGAAGTATGCACAGATGAATAAGATATTTTGGATTTGTTATACAATACTGCAGTCAGGTTAGATACAGTACAATTGTTCGTGTTTTTATACTTGTTGATACTGGCTAAAGGACTCGTGGATTTTTATATGATTTTGCCTTGCTTTACTTCAGTTATCAAATTTTTGTAATTAAGGGTCTAATTGGGAGCTAGTAGAAATTTATTCTAGATTCCTTTTATTGCTTTTATAAACACCAGGAACAAAAACATTTTGAAAAGCATATTATTGGGGGGGGGCTCACACATTCTGATCACAGTCCATCACTGAAGGAAATGAGGGCAGAAACTCTGGAGGAGCAGAGGCAGGGACAAGAGGAGAATTTTGTTTGCTGACTTGCTCCCCATAGTTTGATAATGCTTTCTTAATTTACCCAGGACTGCCAGTCCAAGGATGGTACTATCCACAGTGGACTGGCACTTCCCACATCAATAGTGAATCAACAAAAAAATGTTCCATAGGCATGCCCCAAGTCCAATCTGATGGGGGAAAATTCCTCAAATGAGGTTTTCTCCTCCAATAGAACTATAGCTTATATCTACTTGACCAAAAGAAAAAAAAAATCAGCACAAAATATCCGGGAACTAGTCAATAACAGAATGTAACTAAGTTGGCAGCACAGTGAAGCAAAATAGTGCTAAGAAAGAAGACATCTGAACCAAGATTAATAAAAGCTCAGGGTCAGAAATTGGGGTTCAACCTGAAGATTCGAAAAGCAAAACAGTCAGCCACTGGCTCTTACCTTGACCTCAGTCTGAAATGGCAATCCTGCCTCACAAAATCTCAGAATGAGACCGTGTGTTGAGAGCTGTTTTCTCCTGTTTTATAATCCTCTCTAGGACTGGGATTAAAGGCTTGTACCATTATTATTAAAGGCATGCATCGCCTGGTTTCTATGGCAACTAGTGTAGCATCTAAGATTAAAGGTGTGTGTTACCATTTCCTAGTCTGTAAGGCTGACCAGTGGGACTGTTTTACTCTCAAATCTTCAGGAAGTATTTATTTATTGAAGTACAATTAAAATGCCACTACAGGCATCTTTGATCTTTTGTAACTTACTCTCCCTTCCTTCTTTCAGTGACTTATTTCTTTAATCACAATCATGGGTCAGTCATTCTCTTCTACATTTGCGAATGAAGACCGTGGAGATTTGGAATCCAGTTTCACTGCATATTTTAATAATACTGAAATAGAAAACGAAATCATTCCTCCGGAAATCATCCGTTCTATAAAAAGGTCTCTGAGAAGAGGAAATGTTCATCAGGCACATTACATAATCAGTAATAGATTACGAGATATTTATTATGCCCCAATAAACATTGCTGTGACAGGAGAGTCTGGAGCAGGGAAGTCCAGCTTCATCAATGCCCTGAGGGGAGTTGGACCTGAAGAGGAAGATGCAACTCAAGTTGGGATAGCAGAGACAGCTATGAGGAGAATTCCATACAAGCACCCCAAAATTGAAACGTTGACGTTTTGGGAGCTGCCTGGCATTGGAACTATGAACATTCCACCAAAATATTATCTGGAGAAAATGAAATTCCAAGAGTATGACTTCTTCGTGATTCTTTCCGCCACACGCTTTAAACTACTTGAACTAGACCTTGCCCAAGCAATCAAATTGAAGAGAAAGATTTGCTACTTTGTAAGAACCAAAGTGGATGCTGACTTACAAAATGAAAAGGAATCCAAACCATGTACCTTTGACAGAGTAAAGACCCTGCAGCAGGTCAGAAGATACTGTGTGAACACCTTCATTCAGAATAACATGGATGCTCCACCGATTTTCTTGATTTCTAACCACAATTTATCAGACTATAATTTTCCAGTCCTGATGGACGCCCTGATAAAATTTCTTCCTGCTCAAAAGCACCACAACTTTATACTTTCCTTGCCTAATAATACTGAGGCTGTCGTTGACAAAAAGCACAAATCTATGCAGCAGTTTATCTTGTTGGAAGCCTGCCAGGCTGGAATTTTGGCTACTGTTCCTACAGTGGACATCCTCATGGATGAAGTCGAGGAGTTGAAAGTGAAGTTAAACCACTACCGGGTCCTCTTTGGACTAGATGATGAATCCCTGGAAGTCATGGCTAACGATTCTCAAGTGCCTGTTGAACAACTGAAAAAAAACATTAAATCTCCTTATTTGTTGGAAACTAAGAAAGAAGAAACATTGGGAGAAATGGTTTTGAAATATGTGGAGAAATTTGCCTCAGCTAATGGTGGGCCTCTTGCTACAGGGCATTACTTTGGGAAAACCTTTTACTTACAACTTTATTTCCTTGACACAGTGACTGAAGATGCCAAAGTTCTCCTTAGAGAGACATATTTTAAAAAACTAGTTCAAGCTCAGCTCATCCACAGTGACTGACCAGGACAAGATCACAAGATCAATGGTGAATACAATAGAATCACTAGATAAATTCCCCCTCTTATATCTTTTCTTTCCACTAACCAATCCACTATCAACATGAGAAACCTAGGGATAAGGGCCATGTGTGTTAATATGTCAGAACCTGGCAATCCCCAGCTTCAACCCTCTACCTTCCTCTCTGTCTTTCAACTCTGGTGTGGGAGAATTGTCTGTATCCTGTCAATCATGTTTTAAATAAATGCTGATAGGCCAATAGCCAGGCAGAGAGTATAGGCAAGACAACCAGACAGGAAGTAGAGGCAGGGCAATGAGAACAGGAGTATTCTGGGAAGAAGGAAGTTCTTTCTGAGTCCTGTCCAGACACCGACTAAGCAAGATGTGACCTGTCCCACTGAAAAAGGTACTGAGCCATGTGACTAACATAGATAAGAATAATGGGTTAAGCTGGGCGGTGATGGCTCATGCCTTTAATCCTAACACTTGGGAGGCAGAGGCAGGAGGATCTCTGTGAGTTCGAGACCAGCCTGGTCTACAAGAGCTAGTTCCAGGACAGGCTCCAAAACACAGAGAAACTCTGTCTCGAAAAACCAAAAAAAAAGAATAATGGGTTAACATCAGTTATAAGAGCTAATACGAAGCCTGAGCTAATGGGCCAATCAGTTTATAACTTATGGAGACCTCTGCGTGACTTTCTTTGGGGCTTACCAGCTGTGGGAACTGGGCAGGACAGGAACCAACAAGCAGGCCTTCATGTTACACAACTCCACATGTACACTTTAAAACACACATGCACAGACTCACATACAGACACACACAGTGCCATGTCGTGCACATATAATGAGCAGAGCTCAATTTCCAGAACCCATATAAAAGTTGAATGGGTGTGGTAGGCACCTTGGACTCCAAACTCAGAAGGCAGAGAAGGCGGAACCATGGAGCAAGCTGGCTGTCAAGAGTGTGAGATAACTGAAAGTTCTAGGTTTAATTGAGGGACCTTGTCTTGGTGACAAAGACCAGAGAGCAATTGAGGATAGGATAACATAAGCCTGACATACTCACCCACACACGTGAACATGCATACCACACAGAGAGACACATTTTATTTTTTTAATATTTTTATTCGTTTTACATACCAACCACAGTCTTCCTATCCCCTCTTCCCCTGCCTCCCATAAGCACACCCCAATTCACTCCTCAGACATGCTAAGGCCTCCCATGGTGAGTCACCAAAGCCTGGCACAATCAGTTGAGTCAGAAGCAAGCCCCTCCCCTGCCAGAAGCAAAGACCTGTATTTTGAGGTCTGTATTTTGTTTACAGTCATCTTAAGTTCACAAGTAAGTTATTCCTCTCTGCAGGGGAAATTCTGGGCCTAGGAAATCAACCTGGTATCTTATCTCCTAATGAGACCTGCTGGCCCCAGGCTTTTAGAAACAATTAGCATTTTCTTTGTTAGTCAACAATCACAGATGCTCAGTATTTCCTTATCAGCTAGGGATGTCTCTGAACCTGAATTCCAGTGGTCCTGACACCTTCCCCTCCCACTTGCCCATTTTTTATTTTTTCATTTTTTTATTTTCTTGCTGTAAAACAGCTTCTGAGAAACAATAAAACACGACTGGATCAGAAAACCTGTCTTGCCATCGTTTCTCCTGTCACTTGCCCTTCCATTCCTCTCCTCTAGGTTTACCAGGGACCCCAGTTTGTATCCCTCTAGATGGGATAGATTGCGCCCAACGTGGGGCTCGAACCCACGACCCTGAGATTAAGAGTCTCATGCTCTACCGACTGAGCTGGAGATGGATGTGAATCTACTTTCAGTCTTCTACACGTTGATGTCTAGTGAGGCCAGCATCATGAGTTAAAATGCTTTCTTTTTCCATTCTTCTATCAGTTAGACAGACTTACACCTTATAAGGAGCTTAGCTTACAAACTTTTAATTAGATATTCAATGGCTAAAGCCCTAGTTCTAATATTCTTATGGGAGACCTTGAGCAACTAGGTAAAATTCTTAAAGGGAGCAATGAGCCAATTTCCAATAGAAAGCTTATAGAAGCTGCCAGACAGGTAAAATATAGATCAACGGGTTTGGTCTCTCAGAAGTAATCTGTACATTGTCTTAGTTTCTTTCTCTGTTGATGAGAAGAAACACTCACTGTCAGAACACCGTCCATGAAGGAAGCTGTGTGAGGAGATTGTTGAGAGCTTTGAGAAACTCTAAGTACACAAGACAAAGCCTCCCTGGCCAAAGCCACCGTCATACCAGCTAGATTAAGACAGGTCCCCTTGTATCTGCCACATTGTTCTCTTCCCATTTTCAATCATTCCTCTAGGAATGAACGCCTCAGTACAGCTGGGGAGGAACCTGCAACTAGAAAGGCTTTGCCTTTCATTTGAGGTTTGTTTGTTAGTTTGTTTGTTTGCTGCTGGTAACAAAGAACATGGACAGTCCATTTCAGAAAAAAAAGGGGAAATAAATTCTTATATAGTATTTCCGGGAGTGGGGTGAGTATCAACTTTATGTGCAATATAATTGAGCTTTTGAAGACTTGGTGTAAGTCAGGGCTATTTGGAAAGGGTTCAGGTATAATGTGTCCCACAAGAAATACCAGCATCACTTGAGCCTGTTTGGAGCTGCAGTGAAGTGATGGCTATGGCCCCAGGGTCTGTGGCACCAAGGACTTAGTCTCATATTCACTCTTAAGACTCTGGGGAGTAGAGAAAACAAATACACATACACCCACAAAAAAAAAAAAAACACGGAATGCACAACACGCACAGGTCTGTGACTCAGATATTGGGCTCAGTAGCTCATTTAAGAAGGGATGTGACAGTATCTCTGTCCCTGGGGAACAGAGACCAGCATTGTCACAGATCTAACAGAAAAGAGATGCTCCAGAGACTCACACATGGTAGAACAGAACTCTATTCCAAAATGAGTTGTAGTTGCCAATAAGACAGTATTTCAGACCCACAGTGGTAAGGCATGCTGCAGTAGTGACTCTGGTCCCTGGGATAAAGGGACAGGTCCATCACTAGGTTCTTTAAAGCCATTTTAAAAGGAGAAGAAAATAAGCTGGAAATGCCTGGCCATAGCTGGACCTTGAGTCTTGGAGTCTTGAGTCATAGTGGACAAGGTTTAGATGTCAAGATTTTTGCAGAAAAGACAGGCAAGTGTTCTTCCCATGGAGACTGGTCTTTGACCAAATCCCCAGTCACACAAGACTGGTAATTACTGTTCTCCCTCTAGCAGGCTTCATAGTACCCTCCAATATTGTGAACATTGGTCACAAAGCACGAAGCTTTCTGCTCAGTACCAATATTTCTCTGTGTCTGTGACCAAAATATGTGGTGTCTTCAGCAGCAGAATCTTACCATCAGGGTCTGGTGAGGAATGAAAAATAATACGAATAACCGACTGCTTTATTTTGAGGTCCCTGGGACCTTCCTAATCAACAACTCAAGGGCAGGTAACACAAACTGGCACTGAGCTTTTGTTTGATGATTCTTGGTTGTCAACTTGACTATACCTGGAATAGTCTAGAGTCCAGAAATGGAGGGGGGCATCTGTAAGATGACTGGACTCCATAACTGTTTACAGTTCCACATTCTGCTTTTTTATTTGTTTTTTAGCATATATTTTAATTGATTTTTTTTTTCAAATTTCACAGCATGTACCCAAATCCTACTCATTTTCCAGTTCTTCCATGCCTGCCCTCCACCCTTGTAACACTAGCCAATCCACTCTCAACGTGGGAAAACCTAAGGGTAAGCTTCATATGTGTTAATATGTCAGAACCTGACAATCCCCAACCTCAGCTCTCTACTTTTCTTTCTGATCTTCAACTCCACATGCACAGCTGAAAACATATATGCACACATACACACTCATGAATGCACACATGCACGCATCTAACACCCAAACATGCACAAGTGCAGACAAAAAAGATTAAATAGTTGTATTATTACTCTTTGTTCCTAATCATTCTAATAAAAACTCAGGAAGTTGAGGGAATCTATGATCAAGTGTATAAAGCACTTGCCATGCATGTGTAAGGACCAGAACTCAATATCCAGAACCCACATAAATGCTGAGTGGGTGTCCAGCCACCTTGAACTCCCATACTCAAGACAGAGGTAGTGGAATCATAGAGCAAACTGCCTACCTAGAGTGTGTACATCTGCAATCTCCAGGTTCAGTGGAGAGACCCTGCCTTGATGAAAAAAGTAGAAATTTAGGATGAGGCCCAACATAAGGCTGACATGCCCACACATGTGTGAACATGCACACTAAACAGAGAGACACATTGTAAATGTAAAATAAAATAAGAGGCAGGAAGTAAATAAAAATAATATTTTAGATAGTGCAAACCTTAAAAGAGTCATGAAGCTCTCCTACAGGTTGTTAAAGCAAAAATTGTTCTCCAGGAGGAGGATTTCAGGCCAGCGAAGATACCTGCAAATGATGCTGGGGCCTCCAGGGCTGTGACTCTGGTGAATCATTGCCACTCTAAGGTGGGCTTTGCAGTGACCCAGTTGCCTGTGAGTGATCAATGCTCCTAACTCGACTTGAAAGACAATGTTTCTTTGGTTTGTTATGGGTGCCTAAAAGGGATGAATAGATATTTGTTTGTCTCCCCAAGAAAAGATCATACAACACAGCTAATGTCTTCTCAGGGGCCAGAAGAACCAAAGATGAGTTAAGGAGGACTGGTTGTCTTGTCCTTACAATGGGTGCTGACATATGGGAGTGAGGCTGCCCATGTGATCAGACCCCTCAATCTTATATGCAGACATATCTGAATAGAAACTAGGCTAAAAAAGAATAGATCTTGGCAGTGGGACCATGATCTATACCTGGTGTATGAGTTGGCTTTTTAGAGCCCATTCCCTGTGGTGGGATGCCTTACTCAGCCTTGATGCAATGGGGAGAGCCTTGATCTTGCCTCATCTTGAAGTGCAAGGTCTTGTTGTTTCCCCATAGGTGACCTTACCCTCTCTGAGGAGTGGAGAGATGAGAGGGGGTGCAGGGAGAGCTAGGGTGGGAGTTGGGAGGAGAGGAAGGAGGGGAAACTGTGGTTGCTATGTAAAATTAACAAAAAAATTCAAATGAAAAAGAGCCTCAGTTTCAAAGGCCTTGTATGTATTTATGATTGTTTGGGGTACTTCATATCTGTGTTTATTAACAATATGCTTTTAAAGTATGCTGATCCAAAATGTCTTATTATATATTATATTTTCGATGGTATTAATCCTGTCAGCTAGCTGTTCATTCATTATTGTATGTAAAGACTATATCATTTCTAAACATGCCTCATTCTTGGCTCTGTTATCAAATCATTTTTTTTTTTGAGACAGGGTTTCTCTGTAGCTTTGGTGCCTGTCCCGGAACTAGCTCTTGTAGACCAGGCTGGCTTCGAACTCCCAGAGATCCGCCTGCCTCTGCCTCCCAAGTGCTGGGTCAAACCATTTTCTTAAAGAAAGCTAAGTACCAATATCCAATAAATGGATGTATCAGAAAAACCATATAAGCCTTGAGAATACCTTTCATAGTATAAGTATGAAGGTTATTAATTCCTGGATGGTGGTATTGTCTGCAATACTGATTTATTTATGTTAAAGAATGTACTTTGCCATGGGCCTTCAGAAATTTGTTGTAAGTGTAATAATCCTTATTGGCCAACAGGTGTCATGGTTGCAACCATCTGATAGACCAGTGGAGCGTGAACAGTCCCACCTGGTTCTGCATACTGGTGTCTGCTTAAATACTGACAAATCTGCTTTGCTTAACAAATTAAGAGCAGTTAAAGCAATTTTGTACTCGGCAAGAGTTTTGTTGATGGCCAGAATATCAAGGAACCCAGAGCTTGTGAGCTAGGAACACAAACTAAAAGCTGTGTAAGTCAGCACTGCATGTAGACCCACAAAAGGGGTATCCCCGGACATTGAGCCTATAATTCGGGTTCTTAGAGAAGCTAAATAAGAAGAAGAACCCAAAGAAAAACATATAGGCATCCTCCTGAATATTAACCTTCATCAGGCGATGAAAGGAGACAGAGACAGAGACCCACATCGGAGCACCGGACTGAAATCTCAAGGTCCAAATCAGGAGCAGAAGGAGAGAGAGCACGAGCAAGGAACTCAGGACCGCGAGGGGTGCACCCACACACTGAGACAATGGGGATGTTCTATCGGGAACNAAAAGCCTGGGTTAAAACCGGTCTCACTGAACATAGCGGACAATGAGGACTACTGAGACCTCAAGAACAATGGCAATGGGTTTTTGATCCTACTGCACGTATTGGCTTTGTGGGAGCCTAGGCAGTTTGGATGCTCACCTTACGAGACCTGGATGGAGGAGGGTGGTCCTTGGACTTCCCACAGGGCAGGGAACCCTGATTGCTCTTTGGGCTGATGAGGGAGGGGGACTTGATTGGGGGAGGGGGAGGGAAAGAGGAGGCAGAGGTGGGGAAGAGACAGAAATCTTTAATAAATTTAAAAAAAGGGGGTATCCCCGCTATGGTGGGGTTTTGGCCAAAAAAAAAAACTGCTTAGTAGGTGAAATCAAGCCAGGTGAGCAGGAGGTGGGAGACCTTCTGGGCCAGTCCCAGTAGGTGT